AAAACCAAAGTAGTCATTGTAATACTTGTCAGTCAGGGGAGCAGTTACGGGTGTGAAGAAATAGGAAGAGCAGCAGGGAGAAATCATGGAGCCTAGGAGTGAGAAAAGAGGCTTTTTGGGTAACAATGACCACACAAAGTCTGAAGAAACAAAACATGTTGGTGTAAAAAACAAATAGAAGCTTCTGAAACATAGCCTGAGACACACAAACCTTGCAGCTGCTCGCCTACAGTAGCAGCCATTCAAAATAGCCCTTCCTAGTCAAACGCCAGCCGAATGGCAGCCCACTTCCCTGCAACTCCCAGCAAAATCCCCTCCAACTTCCAGCCACTTAGGTGACTTCCTCCTTCTTCTGGATGTTTATATATCTTTTTAATCTGACTCCACCATTTCACTACATTGCAGGGTCTGACCAGGAGATTGGTCGCTTCTCTTTAGATGTTAATGTCCACAAATCATGACAAAATGTTTTAGTACAAAGATTGTTGTTTAAAAAGGAATCGTAGGGGACCAGCCAAGCGCCAATCAAGGAAAGTAGGGGAATTGAAAATGCAGTCCACCAATTATATGCCACCTTCTTAAGCTGACCAGGCAGAAACAAAAAGCATCTTTGGAGGTACTTTTCAAATGAGGCAGAGTGTATGATGCCTTTATGCCAGCTGCACTAATGCTACAAGCTAAAGCTACAAGGCTGGTCTGCAGCATAGCCCACGTGCACAAATGTGCAGATGGGACTACCTTTCAATCAATGATACCTGTATAATCAAGTAGCCATGTGCTCACTGGCCGACACATTTCAAAAACCTACTTCGAGTCAAACAATGCCTTCAAATAAGCAGCAGGTATGCCTCATCCCAATATGCAGATGCTGCCAGGTGAGATTTCACATAGAAAACTAAACACAAAATTAACAATTGTAATACCTGAAACTGAGTGGTTTCGATCTTTAATTAGCAAATGTAGGACTAAAACAAAATTATTTCTCTCAACATTTAATGTTTTTTGCAGTTTTTCCCTCAGTTTGTGCTCTGCCGACTTGCTCGTACTTTTTTCATGGCGTCTCTCATACAAAGATCCAATAGTCGTCCCTCACCAGTAAAATAGCAAACTCACAGGCAAATGAAAGCATAGAGTCGCACACTTAGGATAGGCAAGCATAACAAAATAAAATAATTGCTGGAGGGAATCATAGGTAGAGACTTCTATTTAAGACATTATTTTTATTAGTGTTATCTTATGTCTACCATTTTGCCAAGAAGGAAAATTACATATGTATATTACATATGACTTATTTTCCCCTGAGGAAATGATTCTTCATTATTAATTAATATTAAGTTTTAATATTATATTGTACATAATTTAGTTTGCGCCCAAAATTAAAAAGAAAAAAAAAATCTTTGCCTTAACAAAAAAATCTATAGAATTAAATCTATATGGGGTTGCTTTTGCTAGACAATTTACTTAAATTTGGATGTTTTACTTACATTTATTTTATTCAATTTGTGCTTTAGCAGAATGCATTCCACAGAGTTCAGCTTTATAGTACTAATCTACTGGACTGCAGTCTAGTCATGTCGTTTGAAGGAACAGTCTTGTTCCACTTTTGAGAGCTGCATTTTCTGCTGACGCTAAACAGATATTACCAGATGGACTTACCTTTGCCCAAAAATCCCTTTCAGAAATACACAATAAAGGCTGAAAATGGTGCAAAAAAAGAAATAAATAAAATACACAAATTAGTTCCTAAACCCTCTTCTGTAATCAAATTTTAAAACCGGTTTAGTTGCTGTACACTGCAAACTGTAAGGTCATAAAACACTGACACACTTCTAAAAAGATGGTCTTCCCTTTTAGCTCCAGTTTCTCAATGAGCAGGGTGTTGAAATGAGTTGAATACGACATCTGAAGGACTAGTCTTTCCAGTCCATCAACCTAAATGCACGGCAATCTAAAAATTGAATAAAAATGTCAGCGATTGATTTTAACCTATTGGCTGGGGGGTTTACTCTGAGGTAGACATTAGCAAAAGCAAAGTTTGTCATCTGGCTGCACCTATGCTTTATTTTTCCTTGGCATGCTGAGGGCAACTAACACAAAGACAGATCAAGAAAGAAGGGAAGGGAAACGTGAAAGCACTGAGCCCACATCTAGCAGTAGCATGGATTGAATGAGGTGCTGAGAGGTGTAAGCTGTGTGATGACAGCCCTGAGGATCTAGTCCCCATGCCAAAACCTTCTCGTATGACATGGCAGTGTAGCACTGTATACTAATTACAGACTTGGGATAGATCTGTCCACAAGTTGCAGTGCTCATGTCACTCACTGTGTTTGGACATGCCACACTGTGAGTGACTGCCACTGGTGAAAAGAAACTAAAGAAAGAAAGAGGCTAAACAGTTAGCCACAATCAACTATAATGACATCCAAGAGCTTTATTAAATAGAAAAAAGGCCTGTTCAGATTTAATTTAATCTCTGCTGCACATTAATGAATCCTAACATGACAGCACATTTAAGGACAAAGGGCAAGTGCAGACTCAGTTACTTTGTTTACATCAAGACCTTCTTTAAAGGCAGTCTTGCCCAACAAAAGTCTAAATCGTAGGAGTGGTTCCTTATATGGAGAAAAGAATCAGGACGCTGTTAACTCCAGAGCTTTGAAATAGCTTCAGGTTTACACATAAGGGTGTGTCGGGCAGCCTAGAGGTAAACATTAATCCCAGACTACACCGACAGGATACATGAGCAGCACTGCTTGTAAGAGGTGGTGCTTTTCACAAATGACTGTTTTCTAAAACATTAAATTCGCCCCAAAACAACGGTGTGTCCAACCTAATCTGAAAATGATAAATAATAGTAATCCACCATTACAGCAGTCATTGGACAGGCCAATAAAATTTTAAACATGGATACTAAACATGAGTAAGACACTGGCCAAAATAATAAATTATTAGTTCATAGAGACCCAAATGGCTTTAACCTAGCCTGATAAACCAGATTAAATGTGTAATTTAGTCTGACCCGGATGAATGAGACATCAAAGATTGTTGATGAGAAAGACCCGTTGTCTTTCAAACCATGTCTGTGCCTATTGGCCAACGCTCTGACCAATGAGTGCAACTGACTGACATAGTAAGCGCAACAGAAAGCTGGTGGGGGAGTGTAAACAAACAGCATGTGATGTGAGCATTGGATAACTTGTTGAGATCATGGAGTTGGACTATTGTTGTCGTTGGTGCAAAAAAAAAAAAAAAAAGACATGCCAGTAGCCGGTGTACTACACCACTGTACACAACTTTTCTGAAGTTCAAATCAACCGTTGTCAGTTGCAGAAAGATTACAGAAAGTTGGAGTGACCGTTTTGATTACACCAAAATCCAATCAAGTCTGTCGAGCTTGTACAATGGTGTTAAGTAGACGCGAAAGAGATCCGCCAATTTATTGGAGGTGGATTGAAAACAAGGTTGAAGCAGGTGCCCCCACAGAATGAACAGCTGCTGAAAAGAGAGCTCGGGAGCCTACTCCCTAGTAAACAGAGAGACTTGAAGAAGCCCCGCCACAACACAAAAAAGCCAAGGATATCTCTCGCTCTTCCACAGATTATAGCCGAGATACGTTGTTGCCATCTTCCTTGTTGTGCTTTCTCCAGCGTCAAGCAGCTTTGTCGTCACGCCTTCAAAACCCTGTCCACTTTGCATCCAAAAAAAAAAAAAAAATCAAAACTTATGTGTGCGTTGTGATTGGCCCGCCAGTTCTAGGGCCTGGGGCACTGTTTGAGGACAGACCCACTCGCAGGCAAAAAATTATTTTGGCTAGATTTAACCCTCACCACCAAAGCCATTTTAATGTTAGAAGAGTGTTAGATAAAACTTCTGTCTTTGTGTTCGTATTTCTCAGAAATTATATTTGCCAGAAATGATATTTCCTTGCACAATATGCTGATATTCTTCTTGTACCAGAACTGGCTGTCTGTATCCACAATCTAATTCAACAGATTGAGGTATTCAGACAGCTTTCAGGTTATAAGCTGCTAGGAGGGCTCTGCAGAGGGTGGTTAAAGCTGTACATACTACAAGAGAAGGAGCCTTCCCTCCACCTCGGACCTCAACACATCAAGATGCAGGGACAGGCCACTCCGCATTAAAAAGGACTCCACCCATCCTGCATGCAGGCTGTTCAAGCCACTCTCCTCAGACAGACAGATGAGGAGCATCCAGAGCAAGACCAACAGGCTAATAAGCAGTTTTCACTTACAGCTGTTAAAACTGCTAACCACTTAATTTGGCTTCATTCACTAATCGCTCTGTTCTTAAATATTAAGCTTATTGAGCGGGGACCCCAATCCAAGGTTTGTACCACAAACATAAATATGTGAGATGATATGACAACAGAAAAACATCGGTGACTTTCCAAATCAGATGTGGCATTACTGGCCAGCCCACCTGCTTGGGTAGGCATTGAAAGAGCTTCAGTAGAAATGGAAATGTGCCAATTCATTTGTTAGGCAGAAGTCAAACTACAAATCCATAGAAAAATTGTCCATTCCTTAAACATACAACTGCCTGAAAACTTTTTAATATACACAAAACTGTCATATTGGACTCTAATAATTGGTAATAAATAATTTACAGCAGGAAAATCTGATGGAATTTCCAAATATGGGTGAGCAAAGGACTTCCGAAAAGGGGAAGATCTATATTATGATAACTTTTTAATGACATTTGAAGAACTCTAAAGTCTGGCATTTCTAAAAGGTGCTTTAATTATATGAGGCTAAGACAATTTAATTCAATAAAAAAAATAAATCATTTATGTGTGTTCTCTGTCTGTTATACCTTGAAAATCTAGTGATAAAAAAAAAAATTGGGAAAATAAGAATGTGTTTTAAAATGCAATGAAAATCCAGATCTTTCCTTTGAAAAAGTGAATTTCTTCCAATGCTGCATTTACAATTAACACAAACACATTTGGTATACATAGAAAAAAAAAAAAAAAAACCTACCTTATGAAGAGGGAGAACAAGAAAAGCTCCGCCACCGCTGGCCTCGATAATTATGGCAACAAACTTGGGGTTGACTGCACAGAAGGAGCTGTCCCATGTGACCCTTGAGACCCGAATGTCATCGTAACATTGGTCATTCTTCACCGCCTGGCCAAAGACATGACGGAATTTGCTCTGTCGTACAACTCGTCTCATATCTGCAAAGAGGGAGGACAATTTCATAAGCACAACCTGAAAAACTAATATTCACTTTCCTCACAAGTAAAAATGAAGTAATAAATTCTGAAAAGTAGCAGCTGTGTTGTGTTTTAGGCAGGATTGGGGTATTTGCAAGATTAGTGAGATGAGACGTTTCACCCTCAAACCTCAGTAAAGATTTTTAGCACAGGCTGAGAATATCAATATCAAAACTTTATATTCTGTTGTGAAAGTTTTTAATTACTCCTGCTTGCTTTTCCCGCAACAAGTCATTACTTTTGATGGCTTAAAGCAAACTAATATTGTGTAAATATTACCAAAAGCACAAGACACAAATTTAAAGATTAAAAAAACTCCCATTTCAGTATTTCACAGCTTTGATATGGTTTTTAAAAATGCATTTTACTGCTCATGTATTTCATTGGGTCAAGTACCAAGTATCTAAACTCTTAGAGCATTTATCAGTGGAACAGGACAGAGAGGGCCACTTCCAGGGAGTGATATGACATACCTAACCCAAACAAAAAAAAGACTTTGTGGCTGGTTCAGGAAAACTCTTAGCCTTAAACAACAATCTGCTGGAAGACAAGAGAGCTGTGGAAAACATGGTCATTCAAAAGGCTCAAGTCCCACTGCTCCCACTACAATAACAGAGCACATCAGAAGATAATGGAAAGTTGGCAGACATCAGATTATAAAGGGGGGAAAAAAAAAAAAAAAAAAAAAAAAAAAAAAAAAAAACACGTCCAACATCACCTACATCCTGCACTGGCACAACGTCCATAAATTACTTTTAGAAGCACCTTACGTTTTTTTTCTTCTTCATTATTATATGTTGATACTCTCTATACACACAATTCCAGTCTAAGTCATGACGAGCAAAACAATCCACAGGATGTGGGACATGCTTTGCAGCAATGCTTTGAAGCTTTTGTGGCTCCTTTTTCTGACAGAAAACATGGATTGCAACACAAGAAGCAAGTTGAGTCTGCTGGAAGGTGGGAGTGGCCAAACCGCTAACTCTCCCATAAAACAGAGTAAAGTCGTGTGGGATGGTAATTAAGTAATAGCATGGGGTGAGGCTTATTTTCTTACGCTAATATTTACTTATACAATGATATATCCATTGTAGTAGGTTTTTTTTAAACACAAACTGCAAGATTAGCAACAAAACCAGCCAGGAATATATCAAAACAGGTCAAAATCAATCGTTTTAAATTCCTTTTATTGTCAATACACCTTTTCTCTGATGTTTATAAACTTTATTGACACCTGTGTTGAAGGTGCAGTCTGACCGTCATCCATGTTCTGTATATGTACATAACGCAGTTCCTAGGAGGGCACGCCATTCTGCTCCATGAAGGTCAGACAGTTTCAGGAAATAACCTTGACCCAGGGACATTTATGCCTGGAGAAAACATGTTGGTGCCTGCATTACACCAAGTAGATGTGATGGTACAACTGCCTTCAGATCAGATTAAGGTGTGAATTCCTGTGTGAACAGGATAAACAGCTAGGCTTAAGAAAGGCCCAAAAAAAGAACATCTATGGAGAAGGAAGGTACCATAAAGTAATTCATTCGACTGATATTTCTCTCTGCACACGCTGTATATACGTCCAAATTTCGGAGGTTTTTAAAAAGCTCCAGATAAACTTACCTGCTTACTACTCAACTAAACCAGAGCCAGTGAGACAGGAAAAACTTGTCCTCAGTTTCCATAGTGGGTTGCTTTATAGAGTTCTACAGCTTGCAAGCAAAACACTTAATACATACAACTTCAGCAGATGAGCAATCCAAAGGAACAAAATACTCCAGTAAAGTAAACCACCAGACCGACCAGAGGTCAAAATAGGTTAGAATATTGTTTTAGCCGGAAGAACAGGGTATAACTATCTGGCTTCCTACTTTTACCAAGACACAACTTTTTTGGCAGATTTTTATTTTTATTTTTTTAAGAATTACCGAGACAGACAAATTTGATCTTCCATGCTTATGTATAGAGTTTATATAGAACATCAACAAGGCTGTTTTATATTAGCAGACTGAACACCATCACAAGTAGAACAAAATATCTATTGCCCTTTTTGATTATTTTGTTGTACTCCTGGCCTTTATTCACCTTTCAGGTTGGAAAGGGGCAGTAAGAGGCATTAAAGGTCCTTAAACATTTCCCAAAGCACAAGCTATCTAGCGTTTTAAGTTGGTCGTAGAGTACATGTAAAATGATGTGCTTTTACTTTAGTCTCTACTTTACTAGTTTGGGTCAACATAGTCCATTCTATGGTGGTACTGTACATACCTACTGTAAATCCTTTTCCTGCTTTAATATGATTTAATTAGACTTGACTGTCAACTGTTTTGTTATTGACAGTGTACTCATGGAAATAGGACACAGAAATATTAGTGATGAGGTGAAATTAAATCTCTGTGAATGAGACATACAAATCCTGATTATTAAAAAACTAGTAAGGGTTATTCAGAAATATTATATAGTAATAGATGGAGCTGGACAATACAGTCACCACTTTTATCTAAGCCTGGAAGTTAACTGCATTTGCAATAAAATAATTTACCAAAATGCAATTTTCAAATAGCAGAGAAACTCAATTTTGGCCACATTTTATTAAACAACAGTAATTCAATTAAAAAACACATCACTGTCTTACTCTAGGCCTTTAGGTGGCCAGAATACAGTTAAAGTGGGTTTTACCGCAGGGCTCGACTAATACAGGTTTTTAAAGACTGATGCCGTTCATTTTGACATCAGTATTTTCTGGACCAATTTTGAAGCTTATATTTTCCCTCATTTACATGATAAAAAATGTTCCACAAGTCTTTATGATAAGATCTTAATTGATCTTAATTGAATAAAATCATATTGCCAGCCTTAGGTGATTCGTGTGGAAAAGTATGTGTGCTGAACTTCACCATATTATAAATCAAGAAGTTGGTTGACAGGGCACAATCTCTCCACACTCTTCCACATTCTCGTTTTAAAATTTTAAAAATAACATTAGGAAAAACAACCACAGAAAAGTTTATATTTTTGAAGGTTATTAGCCATTTGCTTCCCCTTGCACCAGCACCAGCAAATACGTGCGTGCATTCACTGATTTATTAGTGCATTCATGCTTTGAAATCACATGAAGTCCATGCATTGCCACTCCTTCAATACCTTTGTTAATCCTTCCTTTAACTTGTTAAAGCTAGGGTTGCTAATCTTGTAGAGCTAAAAAGATATGAAAGTGACATCCTCCCATTTAAAGATTTCCCCACAAACTTGAAAGCAAATCTCACAGCAGAACTCAGCAAAGCAGAGGGGGGCCGACTCAGCCTTTTCTGTCAATACATTATGGTCTTCAACCTAATCACTTCATGACTCATTCCCCTGTAAATAAACTATATTATTATTGTAGCTTTCAAGGTAGCATGCTAGGTTAGCAATACCAACCATGAGGTTTTAGCATGTAATTTTCAGCAATACTAACCTCACAAGTTTTGCAAAAAGGTGTTGTGAAAGTTTTCGGCAATGGTCAAACCTGATGAGCGTGCACGCGGAGGAGGGGGGACAGAGATGAAGGCATGCGATTGTTTTTTTCCACTCAGATTGAAGTGCAGGGATTAGTCAGAGTTTTTAGAGGCTTGCAGCTCTCGTCTGATTTTTTTCATTCCTTTCACGGAATACATGATGTATTGAATACTGTCAGGATGGAAGGACCATTTCATTCAACAAAAAGTGTTTCTGAACAGTGTTACCAACCCCAACTTTTATGAATGTTTCTTTTGTGTTTAAACTGAGACTTGTATATGTCATCATTGTGTCATTTTTATCAAGTAAAATGAAAAAAAAAAACAATCGACTAATCACTCTTAGGTATATTATTACATATTAGCCGTATGTAATAACAAAACAAAAAAAAACAGCCAAACTAAATCAGATCTCTTCAAAGTTGTACTCTGGTATAAATGCTATGTTATATGGTTCCCATTAAAGCCTGTTTTTATATGCAAATAAATGGAGAATGTTAATTGCGCTGGTGCCCCTTTTTAGATAAATTTAAATGGAAAAGAAGGAGGTATAATTTCTATGGTAGAGCAAGACAGCTTTAAACCAAAGTTGTTGGTTTTGTTTTAGAAAGGGTGGCAGAATTAACCTGACAACAGCCAGATGCAATTCTCGTCCGCCTAGCTCCACTCACATACATCTGGGAAAACACCATAGGAATTGCCTTTACTGAAGGCTGGGCCTTATCAAAACTCCTTGCATATGATTGGATAAGCCACTTGTCTGTCATCTTTATTGACGTGCTATTT